ACTCTATTCTGTAGTTTGAAAGCAAAGCTCCTCATGTACATAAAGAAATAAAGCTTCTTTTTAATAGCTAAAAGCACAGGTCCCATTCATCTCAATGAAGGCTATTAGAATTCTGACCTGTATGTTTTGCAAAATTTGTTCTTAAAGCCTTTACCATATTTAAGTTTCCATGTGGAAGATGAAGAATGATTGGTGTACCAAGTTCATATGTTATGTGGTACAGAAAATTTAAAACCTATTTCAGATATTTGCTTTTTTGGCAAGTGTTAGCATTAAAGCATCTGTACTGGCATGTCCTGGCATTTCTGACAGGATACTTCTTCATTTGCAGCAGCTAAGAGAACCAGCTGTGCACATTCAATATGTTCCCTTACATAACAGAGTACTACTCAGCAGAAAAAAAAAAAACAATGGAAACTTGAAATTCACAGGCAAATGGATGGAACTAGAAGAAACCATCCTGAGTGAGGTAATGCCATCACAAAAAGACAAAAATGATATATACTCACTAATATATAGAGCAAAGTGGCAGCCTACAATCCATACCACCAGAGAAGCTAGGAAACATGGAGGACCCTAAGAGAGACAGACATGGTCCCCTGCAGAAGGGGAGAGGGACAAGCTAACTGGGAGCATGAGGGGAGGGGAGAGGGAGTTATAAGAAAGAGAAGGGGAGAAGAGGAGTGGAGAGGAGAACATGAGGGAGAAGGAATATCTATTCAGGGGAAGAATAGAGGAGAGCAAGAAAAGCGATCCCATAGTAGAGGGAGCCATTTTAGGTTTAAAGAGAATTCTAGAACTAGGGAAATGTCCAGAGATCTACAAGTTTGACCTCTCAACTAACAAGCTAAGCAATAGTGGAGAAGATACCTTAAATGCCCTTTTCCAATAATGATATTGATGACTACCTTACATGCCATCCTAGAGCCTTCATCCAGTAGCTGATGGAAGCAGAAGCAGACACTCACAGCTAAATACTGAGCTGAACTCTGGAATCCAGTTGCCGAGAAGGAGGAGTGATGAGCAAAGGGGTCAAGACTAGGCTGGAGAAAACCACAGAAAGAGCTAACCTGAAAAAGTGGTTGTTCATGGACCCCAGACTGATTGCTGGGAAACCACCATAGGACTGTTCCAGACTAGTAAATATTTGGAGATCTGGACAATCTATGGGGCCACTAGAACTGGATTAGTATTTACTCCTAGTACACAAATGGACTTTGGGAGCCCCCTCTACATAGAGGTATACTCTCTCAGCCTAGACACCGTGGGGAGGACCTAGTCCCTCCTCCAAATGATATGACAGACTTATAAGATTCCCCCATGGAAGGCCTCACCCTCCCTGGGGAGCAGAAAGGGGTCAGGAGTAGGGAGCCAGTGGTGGGTATGGGAAGAGGGGAGGGAGAGACAACTGGGATTCACATGTAAAAGAAACTTGTTTCTAATTTAATTTTTTTTAAAAAAAAAGGAAAGGAAAAAATAGAAAAGATCCCTGCCCCCTTTCTTTCTCTGCTTCTCTGCCTACCTCTCTGCCTCTCCTTCTCTCTCCTTTCCCTTCACTATCTCACCCTCCCCCTGTCACTTTTTCTCTTTTCTCTTCTGCCACTCCTGTCCTCAGAGACTGGTCTCTCTTCTCCCATTCTCCCTTTTCCCATTCCCATTCCCCCAATAATACAGAGCCACCCAAGCTCTGTGCAAAGGAGTCTTTTTCTCTCCCTGCAGCTTTTTAAAATTACAACACCTAGTATTTTACTTTTCAAAACTGGGGAATGGATTTCTGTATAAATACATCCAATCTTTTCAATATTAGACACTCTGTGGTTTGATTATGGATGGAGAGTGGTTCAAAGGATCCTAGGTAAGGTAGAAAAATTATTAATTATTTCAAAAAGTGAACCAGTAATCATAGAGGCCTCCACCATTTCATTTGAGCAAAAGAGATAATCCTGTTTCTTCAATTGTGTGTAGAAAGGCACAAGGTAAGGTATTGGTCTGTCAAAACATTCGATAGGTAGAACAGCTTCACTGAGGTCAAGCAACCAGTTATGGCTAGAAATGCAAGGCCATGCTATTACACAAAATAACAACAAAAAATGAGTTGTATATTTGCATATGTGCACCACCTGGATTATTAAAGTTCAAGAAATGATGTTCTATATGTAAAATAGAAAATTCATGTCATTTATATTTGTTGACAACTTTGTAAAAAGTAATGAAGTTCATACTGACTGTAAGTCAGTGAACTTCTGAATCGTGTTAATCTATTTAAACATTTAAAATGGGTACTAATAATGTAGTTTATATTGGAATCTTTTCTCTCCCACCCCCTCCCTCCCTTCTTCCCTCTACTCCTCTTCCCATCCCTTCTCTTCTCTTCTCTGTTTACTATTTTACCTTTCTTCAATATTTTTGCCTGGATTCTGGCACTATGATGCTGATACTAAAGAGCCAAAATGCTGCCCAAAGCAATTTACCTACCTACACAGATTTTCAATTTTCCAATATCAGATTTAGGGAATTAGGCATGACCTGAAAACGAGTAGTCTCATGTACTTGAAAAGATTTTAACTTCACTGAATTTTTTTTACAAAGCAGAAATAATTAGTCTCCAATCATCATATTATAAAAATTAATGAGATGATATGTACTTTAATCATATTTCAATGCTTCTGTTTTACATATTTTGGTTATAAGACTACACTGGTTTATAAGACTTTCTTGCTGCTGAGAAATGGCTATAGATAATCACTCCTTTATCCTATGAAATAGAACATAATTATGGAATACTAAAACTGTTTGAAGAACTAGCAAAATTTATTTTGAAAAAAGACAACATGTACCAAAGAAAAACTAAATTGGTATACTTTAATTCTACAAAAATGTATAAATATTTAAATTTACAACAAAAGAACAGTTATCCATTTAGTAATGCTTACACCATTTAAAATGTTTAATTCATTATGCACAATCTATTTTTATAAATGTTAAAGACTGTGTGGAACATGTCTAAACATTTTTGAGATCACGTTTTTCTAGCTGTGACTGCACTGGTTTTAAAATCAGAAGATCCCTACCTCTCTCAAAGAAACTTCTGTGACAATGGATTCCTGTTTCTCCCTTGTGCTACTTTTAGCTTAATGTATACCAGGAATCAAGCGTTGGTGTCTTTAAGATTTTAATATAAACATTGACCACAAGATGAAAAATTCAACTTTGAAACATCTGTTTCACATATATTTTAGGTGGAGCCTTATCTAGTAATTTGTTTTCATTCTAATCGAGCCAACAAGGGAGAATGATCCATTCTCTCTTGTTAACAATGGCAGTAAAGCATTGCTGTAATAATGATGACCAAATTATTACAGAGTGGTCCTCATCTTAAATATATTGACAAAAATGCTGTCAAATCGCTACTTTCTCAGGGGCGATTTTAAAAACACATCAAATGAAATTTTCCTCTTGAATTTACTAAACACTATAAAGCAAAAATTGGGGGATAAGTCTATATACTAGTTAAAACAAACTGCTAGAGTCTCTAACACCTTATCTTTATACAGTATTTTATACTTAATAACACTCTGAACATGTTGTAGTCAAACCAGACACTCCTATGCTATATAGAGGAAATGCACAGTGTTTCCACTCATCTTTCTAACATAATAGTGGCTAGTGACTGAATCCAGAAACACAAGCTACCTTGACACACTGTATTCCTGCTGCCCAGCTAAACTGCACCTAGAGACAAACTTGGAATTTATCAGCTGTACAAAATAACATCTCCAATGGTAATGATTCATATTTGGTGAGGTATTTAAACTTTTCATATTTGTTCAAATCATTATATCTACAATTCAATAATGCATTGATTTTGCCCCTTCTGAAGCTAGAGCTTGAATTCATAGATAAGATATAAATATAATGGCTATGACTATGCTTGTTCAGTTCTCAAATGTAGTAACAATATTTATGGGAGCTAGCCAAAATTCTGAATTTTGCTGAAGCAATTCTACTGTATAATGAACCTCTCACTAAATTAAAAATCATGAAAAACCACTTATTTTATCATAGCAGTTTACTTTCACCTCCTTTATTTTTCTTATTATTTATCAAGCTGATTCTAAGCACTTAAGGAGAAACCAAATTTACATATTAGGTTTATAAGAAAGTGACGCTGGGAAGCCTAGAAATATGTTCTAGTTTCTAGGTAGTCTGCAAAGTTGCAAACACAGAAATCACCCAGTGTTCACAGGAACAGAAGGTTTAATACTCTGTGCAAGCTATAGGTCAGCCTTACACTGCCTTGAAGGGAATTGCAAGAAAACAGACTAAACAGAGTTCTACCAGTTACAGTTCAGGAGGATTGATGCTGCTTTCCTCAAACCATTTGCTTACTGATGGTGTTCTATTGTTCTGTAAACATCATATTTTCAGGGAAAATCTTCATTGTGCTGCAGGTCTTCAATTGTCTGTGGTCTTATTTTATTGGTCAAGTTTTATGGAAGTATGCAAAAACTGTAAGATTAAAAGATTCCTAAAGAAGCAAGTTCTTTATGAGAGTTTTTAATGAAGGCATTTTCTCATTATTGTGCCCTTATATATTTTTGCAGTAGTTTTAGTAGTCCTGGCAGCATAGTTTATAACTCTATGATCTTTGGGAAAACTTCACTATATGTTCATGGCTCAGTTTTATTATCTATAAACATAGAAGCTAATGGTATAACATCTTCGAAGGTTCAAGGTTTCTATAATATCTTTTGTTAATAGAATTTTCTTTTAAAATAAACTTTATATAGTCATCATCAAAAAATGAAAATAAATATGATTTTTCAAAGACTTTACTTATCTCCTTCATAGAACTCAAAATCTTAGCCCTTCTGTGATCAAGCTAACACAACTGAAACTCTGATACTTAATTTTTTTAGTTAAGTGAAGCAACTTATAGCAGCATTTTAATAAAATGGCATATTTCATTTCCATAAGGCAGGTGCTTTTAACACAGAGTACAACATGTATTCCACACTTTAATATGAATGATATTAGGAAAAAATTAACATTTCGAAACAAATCACTAAAAGTTCTTTGTAAAGACATGACTGAAATCTGAAGTTTTAAGTATGAAAATATATGATACAGCACTGCTTACCAACTTTAATACACTCTCAATTTCATTACTTCAAGAAGTGTACTTAGCATATGCCAAGATATAATACAAGAAGCTGAACATAGCCAGTGGACAAAAATGATATAGACCTTGACATAAAAATGGCTTACATGACTGGGTGTGTAGATCAGTGATAGAGTGCTTACCTTACACAGATGTGGCCATGGTACCAAACAAAAAAAGTACCTAGATAAATATAACTCTATTCCCAAGTGTGTGCCGGAGCATTAGACTGGAAGAAACTGATGTAAATAAAAGAAGACACTTATTTTTGGTCAGAAGTAGGACCAAGGAATCATGGACAGGACAAGTGTTCACTGTTTCAATAGAAATGTAAAGAAATGAAGTGGATGACATTTCTGGGGCAGATAGAACCAACACTAAAGGAGAAGCATACTTGGCAGTCAGTACAGTATAATGAAAGGCAAAAGGGTAAGAGATTAAGAAACATAGATGTCTACACATGTACACATACATATGTGTGGATGATATGTTATAAATATATCTACATGCAGAGAATATATGCATGTGTATTTGTTGAATGTATTTATCGGCATATAGAGACATGAAGGTTGTTAGATGAGACAAAAATTAAATGGAAGATTATATTTAAGGAAATATAAAAATTCATATTTAACAGAATCCATGTGACTATTGTAATTAGGGGAATCAGTGTAGCATTGGGTAAGAATTGTCAAAAATGCAGTATCATACCTATAGGCATACTGCATATGACTTAGAAGCTCAGAAATAATAACATACAGTGAATGGGGTTTCTAGTTATATACCAAAGACAGCATCAAGTTAATTTCCAGATGTTCAGATTCAATTTGCCCAAACTTTCGATATTGCAACACAATGATGTCATCTATAAAATCAACATTTGATGACAATGCAGTCAGTTATCAAAAAAGTGTAGATATCTAAAAATGTTTTGACCAAGTTTAAATTTGGTTTTGGGCCTGGTTCATTTTGTCAGCAGGAAGTTTCATGTGGACTGTGAGCCACAGGAAGACAGGGTTAAAAAGTTTGAAAAGAAAGAAGTCAAAAGTGACTTTACATATTTTACAGGTATATTTATGTTTGTGCATGCATACACAAGCGTTTGTGTGCATACACATGTGGAGGCTAGGGGTCAACCATAGACTTCATCACTTGATGTTAAGGACACAGTCTGTCATTTAGTCTGCAACTTGCCAAGGAAGCTAAGCTTGCTGGCTAGGAAACTCGAGAAATTCACATTCTTCACCTCCCTGGGCTCTTGGAATCAGGTTAAGATCCTCATGCTAGAGGCAGAGGGTCAGGGGAAGCACTTTACCAACTGTGTGAATGACCCCTCAGTTCCAAAATTTCTAGTTTTGACTTGAGTGTCCAGAAGATGAAAATTTCATTTGTAATAATGAGAAAAACCAAGAGGAATATGTAGACTGAAGCAATAGAAAGATCTACTAGCCCAGATCAATTTCAATTGTGTGTTTGTGTGTGTGTGTGTGTGTGTGTGTGTGTGTGTGTGTGTGTGACTCACTGTGATTCCAATCAAGGTTTTAATTTTCTTTACTGAAAGCAAACATTTTAAAACCTTAAATCTTTCCAAATTTTATAGTTTGTATCATTCTATCTCTGCACATATCTCTGCACATTTCTTTCTTTTTAGACACTATGTGCACATATCCAAATGATGTGATGAGTCTTTGAGAGTTCTTCTCATGTATTTCACTGTAACGATAAGAAATTTTCATTTAATAAAATGCTGGTGAAATCCACCTCCCATTAAGTAATTATATTCTTTTAAAATGTTACCAACCACTCTTTCTATGTGTTTTGATTGCCACAAGTGGAGCATGTTACATAACAAATTCTTGAGAGTCTACACTTTCTAATTTTCAGAAAATCTCCATATAGGGGTATTTCATGCTATTAGAGTCAGATCCAGAAGAGAACATTGAAGAAGAGTGAAAATAGAAAGAGTTTGTTCCAGGTTCCAGTTGACTTGAGTGGTCTTGATCAGTTTAAGGTTCATTATCACTTGAGAGCCATGGGTTCCTTCCTCTTAGATATAGTATGAACTATGTCTATCCCAGGAATAAAGGCCATGATGTTCAATATTTTGTCTAAAATTTTGAGAAATCTAGGAATTTGCTGAAGTTCTTGGAGTAAAAGATTCTTGAACTTTAAGAAGCAAACCTGATACTTTCCAAGTTGAAACTTTTCACAATGCTAACAGTGTGCAGTCAAAGGGGAAATCCAGCTACAGAAATTAATTGGGATTTTTTAGGTATTGAAAAAAATGTTTATCTTTCTTATTCTAAAGGTGTGTGTGTGTGTGTGTGTAAGGAGACAGAATGACAAAGATAGAGACAGAGTCAGAGGAGAGAAAGACAGAGAAAAAGAAAGGGGTAGGGTGATAAAGGAGGTGTAGTTAGCCATTTAATGCTTTTTCTATATAATTTAATAAAAGGTCAAAAGAAAAATCTCCTCCTTGTTCAACCCCCATAGGTTTCCTGCAATTGTTAGACACAAAAATAAAACATAAATGTACAACAACAATGTGGCCACTTAAAATGTTGCTACATATAAAAATTTACTAATATCCCATCACTGATTTTTTTCTTCTTTTTCATAACATCGGTTCATTCATTGTGTACAAAGGCGTTTTTAAGTTGAAATAACACATATAATTGCCCTAATTGAGACTGAGTCATATTTTATGCCAAAATATGTCTCCTAGTTTAATTAATATCACTTTAATGAATTGTCATAGATTTTGTTTTCCAGTGATCAACATTTTATACCATAGCAATAAATTATGACAATACCATACTTTTTGTGAAATACAAAATGCCAATGACATCATTGACTAAAAAAAGTGATAAATAATAGTTTAAAATTTAAATCTAAAAGGCGACTCTTCATCTACAGATCTAGAGTAAAGGGCAAAGGTACAGCTGAGTGTATGGAGAAAGGGGAATGCTGGATTTAAATCCTTCCATCAGCTCTCAGAGCAAGACTGTCCTCAAGTTGTTATGGAAGTGAAGACTCTCTCCCATCAATTCTTGGAGTTTATATTACTCTTGTCCTCCTTCATATCTGACTCCTCTTATCATTTGACTTAAATTTATTATTTAAATTGAATATCTAAGTTCTTTATTTGGCATCATGATTTTATATTCTACAAATTCAGTAGTAAACTTAATTTTTTCCCTTGTACTGAATATTTGGTGTCATGAATTTAATGCCCATGAATGATTTCATATGTACTCCAATTGTTAGCCTAGAAATTTACCATTGTTTCATGAATATTGTGTAAAAAGAGAATTTTATAAATCATTGGTAATATTTCATAATTAATGTACAGTATAAGGCATTACATGATTTCTCTTTCCATCATTATTACAACACAAAATAATCCATACCAAATAACCCTATGACAAGAGGCTAATGACCACATTTTAAAAGCAAATGTAAGGTGTTTATTTTTTCTCAAACACTTCAAAGTTTTAATAACAGTTTCCTATTACTTATATTTTATGTGCTTCTTCAATCAGATACAAATTTTAGTAGGGAAATAAACATTCCTAAAAATGAATTATAAACAACTGTGGTTTAGAATACTAAAGTTATTTTTAAAACTTTTAATTCAGCAAAGTTAAGATTTTCACCAAACTGAAACAATGGATAAACAAAAGTGTAGATTTTCATGTTCTTGGGAGAAATGGTCTTCAGGCCCCCAAGGTCATGTTCCTCAGCAGCCATTGTTGAGATCTGCTGCCACTGCAATCCTGCATGGTAGGCACCATTTTGTCTTCCTCAGAAGGTTCATCAAGACATTGGTTACTGTTAACATGTCTCAAAGTGAGTCTCTGCAAAAGACAAACAATGAATAGTAACTTGCTAGCACATTTGGTTAAAGCTGCTCTTCAAAAATACTCTCTATCATTGTAGCATATAGTAATATGACATGGTTTTAAAAGGAACTGTTCACTTGTGTCTCTAAATCACATATACAACTTTGACCATAAAGTGATAATCATTGTCTAATACACCACTATTTTAAGGTGGTTTAAAGAAATTGACTGATATTTTTTACAGGTTGAGGAAAATTCAGACATCGTTTTTAAAAGCTTATTAATGAACATGAAGCATAGTTGAAGGTGATAAATATTAATAAGTTTATGAAGAATCTTGAATTTCTAGCTATGGTTTAGTGAGAAGCAATTTGAAAAACACAAAACTCAACCACAAAACTTTTATTCAAATAAACAAAATGGCTAGAGATGATCCCATTAAAAACTACTAAACTAAATTGTCTTAGATATTAAGTGTAGACTAGTAATTAGTATAGCCAGAGATAATCAATCTTACCTCATGGGATGCTTACCATGTTTAAATATCTGCAAATGTATCAACATTAAATTAAAACAGAGATGAAGCTATGTTTTCTTATCTTCACAATTTAAATAATTGCAATGTTTTCAATCATCACAGAGCTTTAATTTCCATTTGTAATGAAATTTACTTTTTGGGACTTCACATTCCACCATGTTTTAAGGCCTATAAATTTTATATCAATTTGCTATTTTCATGGACCATGCCAAGAAACACAGGAAAAAAATCTCTAATTTAAAATGTTCTCACATATGTGTTGTGATTTGCAGGTAAGTCTTGAAAATTAAACATATTATTTTTGCAAATTACTAAAATTAAAAGTTGAGACCATCCTTTATATAATTTTTTGCTCTTGATATTATGTTGGGAGGTATGTGTGGTAAACATGAAGAGAAACACTTGGAACTCATCCTGTGCTTCCCCGTTGTAAGAGAAAATAGAACAGAAGACAGGCTGCTGGGAAAGATCTCTCTCTGACAACAAACAGGAAATTAAAAGGCTAGGCGATTAAAAATGAAGGTGAAGTCAAGATTGAGGCCTTTGTTGTCATTTTTTAATACAGAGTATCAAGCCATTTTTAGTAAATAAATATGAAGTAAAAAAGAAATGGCCTAAGATAGCAAGAAGATGGCTGGTTTATTCTTAGGATGACAGGAAATTCAACCATTAGCCAGTTTGAAAAATCAGATACAAAACTAAGCAAAAACAATTATTTTCCTTTTTAAAAAAGTTGTAAGTATGATCAACAGCACCAAGAAAATAATCATATCTCAAATTGGAGTTAGCTTATATGTACATCCGCCTTCACAAAAGCACTTACCATTGCATGGTTCTAATAGGTGCTTTTAAGAAAACAGATTTTTTACACTTATTGAGTAGGTTACCACACATGAATTATACAATGTACTGCCATTACATTATTGTAGTGTAATCATTTATCACAGTAGTGGAATGATTTGATCAATTACCTTATGCCATATTGGAATAGAGTTTTCAAAATTTATGTAGTATAATCTTTTTAATGCCACAAATTGTATTCTTCTTTCTAACCAATATGTAAATATTCTCCTTAAAAATTAGTAGTAGTAAAAATCCACTTGTCTCAAGGTAACAAATGAGAAAGAAACAAAGAAACAAACAAAAAACAAAACAAAACAAAACTCTGCTCTGCCTAATGTAGCACACTAGAAAGTCAAGCATTTCAGATTCAGGAGTTCCTGAGTGTGAATTCACTTCCCTCTTTTACCAGCAAAGGGCACTGGGGAAAGTCACTAAAATCATTCTGAAGACTGATTCTTCATTAGAAAATTCTGAGTTACATTTAACACGTGTTTACACTTCTCCTTCTAATTCTGATCAAGAATTTGTTCTTCAGTGAATGAACTCTAAGTCCTTAGAAACCAGGTAAGAGTAACCCTGTTAACTACGTGTTTAGGCAACATGGCTTATGGTTTTAAAAAAGTACCTTTAACATGCACATGTACATGTCTGACAGGAATCTATGGCCCCTAAGAGCAGAAACTTGTATATTGGTTTCTGGGCACTGTGTCTATGGAGTTTGTTTATTTTTTTTATTCCAGAGTTATCATCTTCTTTGAGAATAAGTCTACTCAGCATGGATGGTTTTGTCATTGGCCAGATGGAGAACTCAAAACCTTGTGCCAGAATGTGACCTTTAGAAAAGCTATCTACCTTCCAAAAACTGCAGGAAGTGATGAGGTAACTGCTGCAGGTTTTCCTGATGAGAAAAGGTTTCTGCCCAAGCATTCAGTAGTAGATTCATAACATTAAATGTTTGCAACTCAAACATTCTGGTGGGCATGTACACAGATTTGGAGGCTTCAAAAACAAATTCAAAGACTACATGTAAATTGTGTTGTGACGATTGATTCCTCTTCATGCAAATGGTCATGGCTACTCCAATTTTTGCATCTCTTATTTGGTTTATCCATCACTCAAGTGCACTCTAATGCAAACAATACCTGTTCTGCCCTCCCTCATGTCTCCTTGCTTCTGGTCTCAGCTATGCCACAAGATATGATGCTCAATTGTGCACCAACAGCTTTAGATGGTTTAGGGGAATCAGTAAACCTCTAGATCACCTCATGTGTTCCCACAGCCAATAGCTGAACAATTCAAAATCGCTTACTTATTGGTTTTTAAATAAATCTCAAAAATAATGCCCCTCAACTGAAGAATTGATAGAGAAAATGTGGTACATTTGTACAATGGAGTACTACTCAGCAGGAAAAAGTAACAGAATCTTGAAATTCGCAGGCAAATGGATGGAATTAGAAGAAACTATCCTGAGTGAGGTAACCCAGTTGCAAAAAGACAAACATGGTATATACTCACTCATATATGAATTTTAGACATAGAGCAAAGGATTACCAGCCTACAATCCTCTTCACCAAAGAAACTAGGAAACAAGAAGGACTCTAAGGGGAAAATGCATGGACCGGAGAGTATGGGAAGGGGCAGGATCTCATGAGCTAATTGGAAGAGGAGAGGGGGGAGAGGGAGCTGCCAGAATGAGAGGAGGAGAAGAGATGGTGAGAAGAGGAAATGGAGGAGCAGAAATGTTGAGTTGGGGGAAGAATAGAGGACAGCAGGATGGAAGATGCCATATCAGAGGGAGCCATTATGGGTCCGAGGAGAGATCTGGCACTGGGGAGATTTCCGGAGATCTACAAGGATGACAGGAACTGACAATCTGTGCAATGGGGTAGAGGATAACCTGAATGCCCTTCCCCTATAATGAGACTGATGACTACTTTTTATGTCATCCTGGAGCCCTCATCCACTGACTGATGGAAGCAGAGGCAGACATCCACAGATATACACTCAAATGAATTCTGCGGGCTAGTTACAGAGAGAGAGGAATGAAGATCAGGGGGGTTGGTACTAGGCTGGTGAAACCCACAGAGGTGGCTGGCCTGAACAAGGGGGAGCACAT